CAAGCCTAAGTCGGAATGCAGAGTGTTATGTACAGTGTTAGTGCATACTTTTCACAGGGGTGGCCAAAGAAAAAGAAACATAACATCCACATTTCATACGGCATTAATCCACTATTCTAAACTCTAGCCGACAGCTGTCAACTTAATAACGAAGAGCACATCCCATTCTCCAAAAAACGTTACAATAGCTTTCTGCACCAAGGACATCACAAGAATTTGCCATGGGAACCTTGTGCACGGTTCGAGCTCAACTGGTCCTCGACGGATCATGGACCATTACGACGTTATCTGAAACGCTGGTCGGAAGGGGTCTTGCATATTCAGAGCTACTGTCCCTAGGAAGCAATCTGTCAGAACCGATTAAAGAAATTCGTAGCAGCTTCAGGCTGGAACGATTACGGTAGGCCTCCTTGAGCTCGACGGTGATGACGTCATATTTTGAAGACGGTGAGGGCAGTGAAGGAGGGCCTGCTTCTACTTATGGAGGACATCTAAGGAATATTCTGCCGTAAAACTTTCATCAACAGCGGCACCCTGTGCGAAGAAAGTTTGATGATGTGAATAGGTGAAGTGTCTCTCTTTTTTGGCCAGACCTGCTTTTGATATGATTCTCTACGGTATTGGAAATTTATTTTTCAAAACCGCCACGAAGTGTCCTTTCCTGTCACCATGCCCACTGTCTCCAAATTCCTACACTGCATGCCTGTCGTCGCACTCATAGTCGATGGTTGACTCACGTGATACGCGCTTGTGAGTCGCCTGGTGTACCCAATAATTTCTTTCATCATTTACTGTTCCCTAGCGAAGTTCCGCTCTCGGCGGACGCATGCGACATCGCGCATCAGTGCACGATATCGGGTCCTATGTTATCTTTTCTATTGTACTGCTTCTTTGTGAACTTCGTTCCTTGGCAACAGTAGGCGACAGTGTGCGACAGTTACGAAGTACACAGGTGATTTGCAAAAGCGAGCGCGCGACTCGTACGAGTGAATCGCTGACTATGAACGCGACCTATGATGACCGCAATGACTCATTCTTCCATTGTCACTACCATACACTAGTTATGAGGAAGTGATTATGGCCTTTCATGCCACAATCACTCCCCCACAACTGTTTCAGCTGTGATCATGCGATATTGATAAAGACACTCACATCATTCACTCATGTAGTGGTTCATTTGTTAGCTGTGACCGTCACTGATGGATGATGCAGAATGGACGTAAGTTCGAAGTGTTAAATTCAATCAAACAGTTGTGGACGACCACAGTTTCTTGGATTCAGAACTGAATGTAACCTAAATAAGATCCTTTTTTACGAAACAAAACGCTTTGAAAAACGCTTTTCAGGAAGATTTTCTTCTGAATCGATCACGAAGACCAGTGCTAGTCAATCGCGGTCAAAACTTAAAAAATGCGACTCTAACTCGTCAACTGTAAGTAAAATTTGATTTGGCGCTCATGTCCTTGGGGGGGGGGGGGAGGGCATCCAAAAAGGGCCGATGAGGAGCGACACTAACCATAAAACTAACAAGCCTTTAAGCGCAGGAGAGGGGAGAAACGCTCTGAAGAACATTGACGGCTCACATCCTTTCCAGGAATCCTTTCTCCTCCTAAGGCTTAGTCCAAGTCTGTAAGTGGCTCACCCATTTCTGTGCCCTCTCTAAGGACATGTGCGCCTTTAATTTCCTTTGTTAGCTTTATTTTCAAAAAATTCAGTCGAGTCAACACCGTTTATAGGTCTTGCTATCGCTTGAGGTGGAGAGCGTTACATCGGATTCAGAGCAGAGCCCAAAGGTTTGTTTATACTTTGGTGGGAGCATCCATTGAGAACTGGATTTCTTCTATCCTTGTGAATTCAGTTTAAAGACGGCAAAAAGCTGCTTTGGCGTGAAATCTGTGCAGAAATCGTTCCGAGGAAACCTTGGTTCCATTTCGGACGAAATGGATATACTGCGAAGGCAAAACTGTTACTAAATCACGGTATGATTATGTTTTCATCCACAGTCGCATTAGTTGCTGTAGATTGGACCAGGAGATTATCGATATGAGCAAAGGAAATCATAGAAAGCCTAGAAGATCCCCATCGGAGATTGAAGGGTCTGCTGGTCTGGAATTCGTCCAACGCTATTTTTGACCTTGGTCCCACTCCAGCTGACCTGATTTTGTTCGGTGTAAATGAGGTACTTCTATTTCAGTTTCTGGTTATGCAGAGCCAGGACAAGTGACTTTCATCATGGGCGCAAGGTAAGTAAATTGAGAACCGTAAGGAGTGAAAATGGAAATAAGCTAGCAGGGCTACGAGGCTATCTAAACAGTGCTTGGAACTACACACCAGAATCAAGCTAGTATGATAATTTGCTCGAAAATGAAAACGAGGATGCGAAGTTAACCGCTAGTGAGAAAAAAAAACGAAAACAAACCACCGAGAATCTCCAAAGAGAAGCCTTCTCGGTGAAACTCGGGTTCGGGGGGGGGGCACGTGATGGCGCGGCGCTCTGTTCGTCTGCGTCTGCTCCTCCAAGGCTTAGTCCACAGGGCAGTTACTCTTTCGCCATTATGTGGCAGTTTCAAAATACGCGCCATCGGTGACTTAGCCTTCGTATGGATCTACGGCCAACTTGAACTAGCCCTGTTGAAACCGGCTTCGAAGCTGAAACCTATCGCACCTGCGCTCTCTCGCCTGAACAGCGGTTTATGGTTACTGTGATCTGATGCATTCAAATTTTGCCACAATATGATTGACACACCCACTTCAGAGCCCCTCCCTCTCCAAGGCTTAGTCCTAGGGCTCATCACCTTAGTGCTTGAGATTTGGAGCCGAGCCAGGCGCCGTTCTCTAATCGTCTGTGCTCTGGCCTTTCGCGGCAGAGAACATAGGGGCGAGTTCAAGTAGTCACGTAATCGGCCTTGGTAGAGCGGCCGAAAACGCCGGCCTTTTCCTCTAGGCTGAGGAGGGTTTTGGGCAGACCGACAACGAGTCCAAAGACGACGAGGGGAGGACAGACATCGTGAGCCGGGGACGTCGAGGTCGTCCCATCGTCGCGCTGCCGCGTGCGGCCACTTGCGCGGCGTCTAAGAGCGCGGTAGTTTTAAATTTTGACGATTGATTGCTTGATTGTAGCTGAATCTCGGAAGGGACGGGCTTGTATGGCGTCCATTTACATTCAAATTCGAATGACGCGCACTGAAACTCGTCCACTGCCAATGCGCGTCGCGGCCACGGCCAGTACCGCGGGAATCCGGACGATTCTGTTGACATACACCCGTTGAGGCCTGATATGTTAATTTGTGGGGGGAGGGGATTTCTGATGCTGGTGGAATTTTCTACCACTTCACGACTTAGCACCTTTGGCAACTTTGGCCGCGAGTTCGTTATCTTCATGTTTGGGGATCACCTAACCTTCTTCGCGCTATGGGTTCCGTCCGCGACCGATTCTCTGGGCTAAGTGGTCCAGCAGTTGAACGTTTGGGCCGGCAAGGATGAAACTCTGACTCATCTAGGAGGGAGGGGGGGGGGGCCAATCTTGGAAGACACTCTACCATAACATCGTTGAATCAATAGAAATACGTATCGAGTCGTTTTATGACAACAAGCGTGTTACAGTGGTGCCGGCAAGTCTACACTTCTAAATATTCTGACTCAGAAGAAAATCCATGGCGTCAGAGTCTTCGGTGATGTTGCAATAAATGAGTGAGTTTTTTGCATAGCAATAGGCGGGGGAAAAGAAGCGGTTTTTTTTTTCTGGATGCAAGCATCTTGACATAGATCGTTAACCCCTTTCCTGAGATGCGCCAGCCCACTCTACTAGTGACAATAGTATCGTAATGAGCAAATTCTTTAATCCGATCAGCCTCGACCAACCGCATTCGCCACGACTATGAAGAATTCAGTGTATTTCTCGGGCAGAAAACCAAACCTTGTTTCCCATTCAAATTGACACACTGAGGTGTATAGGTTCGGCCTGGCTCGGGAAGGCCGTATAAGGTTTTGACTAGCCCTGAAAGGTGTCTGATCGAGCCTGATTCGCGCGGACCGTGCCGAGGTAGGCAGCATCATTCGAAAGTACAACGTTTCGCCCACATTTTGAAACAGTTCTTCCAAACCGATATAATGGGGTTCCCTCACAGTTTCAGATCAATTACCCCTACTGTCCTTTCAAAATTTGGATGAAATTACAGAAAAATATATCGCAACGATTTGGCAAAACTGCTGGAATACTGATTGGGCCAGCTTCCTGAAGTATAAATTTTATGAGACTCCTTGGCAAAGTAGGCCCCATCCCAGCACGTCAGACCTTCTTTCCGTGTCCAAATTGGAATGGGAATAGTATATAGTAAGGATGAATGCTGCTTGAAGCCATCATTAACTCAACCTCTCACTTCCAGTCAAAACCTCAATATTCTCTCAGAAGTTTCATGACATGTTCTAGCACATTGGTTGAGTGGGGTGACATGAAAAAACTCAGTGCCTACGTTCAACAAGAAGATCTTTTCATCTCTCAAGCAACCGTGGAAGAACAGCTCATGTTTACGGTCAGCAGATATCTTTGTTCATGAATTAGTTATTGTTTCCAATGCATTTTAACCGGTAAATCTATTTTGTCTTACGGTTGGAGAATAACAATTACGGCTCCCTTTAATACGCATGTTTAAAGGAAGCTTTTCACTTTCACTTGTCAGGATTTCTAGGCTCGCTCCGGTGCGATGATAAAGAGGACTGAACAAGGAACGCAAAGCAGTTGTTTCAGAAGTCATCGAAGCTGTAAGTGGTTTTGTTAAATGCAAGTGGAAGATCCGCACCTGATCTTACAAACCTTTTGCTAATTCATTTAAGAATTTGTTACATCAGCGGTTAGAGTGTTATCTCTTCCCGGACATCCCGTCTCCATCTTTTTCGTATGCTCCTTCAATTAGAAGAGAGGGAGGCAAGGTTTCGCTGTGAACTCGCCACACGAAGCAACACCCCCACGGAGGTAAGCAAACCAGCCCTTTTGGCGTTTCGGCTGGGACCGTATGCTGAATGTTGGGGAGGGGATGGGGTCCCCAACGGTCGACGGTTTACTTCAACTCGGTTGGTACGATAGGAGAGTACTGACGCAAGTGGTGCAGCTGGTCCAGCAGCTCCGCCAGAAGGGCTGGTTTGCTCACCCCAGGACTAAGCCTTGGAGAGGGGACGGACCCGTCCTCTCTTTAAGGCTTAGTTCTGAGGTAAGCACCAAATTGTGGCGGTTCTAAGGACCGAGTTGAAGTGGTCCGTCCACCGTCGGGGACTCCATCCCCTCCCCAACATTCAGCATACGGTCCCAGCCCGCCAAAAGGGCTGGTTTGCTTACGTCCCCGCCCAAAAGCCGGAGTCGAGTCGCGACTGCAAAAGTGCGCTTTGACGCCTCCATCTGAGCATATTGGAACGAGGGTTTACGTTAGCGCACAGGACCCATGACACGCCACAGGGAGTAGACGGCGTGAGGGGCAGTTCAAATAAGCGCGGTTAGGCGAGCCAAGAAAGCAAGTTACTATACACTCCGCCTTGCCCCGCCGCTTCCCTATTTCTAGGGACATTGTCCAGCGCTTTAGTCCACGGTATGTTTTTCCATTTTTAGTCATAATCATGCTCCATAATTCCTTATCAAACCCTGTTGGACTCCACAAATTCAAACCTGGGGAGTGTGTTTGACCGGCGGTTGTCCTGCTAGTAAAAACTCTTATCTCTGCACGAGCTCTCCACTGTCATATGGTAAGAACGCAAGAGAGTGAGTCGGCGGCTCCCTAGAGTAGCACCCCCTGTTTTCCGCTCATCTTAGCCTCCTTGTTTCGAGGTGCGAGGAAAGCGTTGCGTTTGCTCAGGTGCCCTTCTATGACTGGAATTCTTTATAAATAAATTAAAGTTCTCCGAAAAGGAAGGTATAAAAAAGGGAATAAGCGGAAGAACACTTCCGTATCACTCATCCAGGGCGTCCACCGATCACTCAAATGTGGACCGATGCGAGCTTGATTAATGTAGCAGTGCCATTCCACCGTGTGATACTGCTTTTGCCGCACCATCGCAGTGAGGTCTTCCGACCTGCACAAAGACAAACCCAAAGTAGTGGTCATTCAGTGGGTACACTAATCCAAGTCCCAATAACCCAGCCCTTAATATCAGTTGGGAAAGTGCGAAGCATTGCCAAAATAAAATTTGTTTGTTTTTTCATTTTTTTAATTTTTTTGCTAAAATAAAATCATTTGTTTCAGATGGGTTTGACTGCATGTCGAAGAACTCAGATAGGAAGCTCTTTTGTGAAGAGCCTAATCTAGAGGAGAACGGAAGACGACTTGGCATTCGCTACGGAGGTGAGATCCTCAAGATAATAATTGCGCTCTCACAGGATTCTCCTGCAGATTTTATCAAATCCATGGATTTTATTCTGTGATGAACCAACTTCTGGCCTTGATTCCTTCATGGCTTTACAGGTAGTGTCGATTACAACTTTTATTCAACCCTTTTCCACTTGTATGCATGTTGGTTGCGAATACGATCAAAGTTGGACAGAAGTTGAGCGCAAGGCCCCAGATTCGTGGATCCCAGTCAGTTTACGAGAAGTATGCGCAGTTTGTTTGCTTCGTAAAGTGACCTCGAAAGTGCTTAAAGGCACGTTTCACGATCAAATTGGTGTGGTTCTTTGCACAAAAATTGAAATGTATTGCTGCGATTGGGGCTGGCAGTAAAGGAAAAGGAAAAGAATCCGTCGAAAACGCTCGGATGTAGGGCTTGCTGACCTTCGTAATGCGGCTGTGCTAAGGCAATGAGAGACTGGGCGCGGAGGGTAGAGTATGAGGAGAGGAGAGCGTGGCAGGTGAGAGGGCGCAGACAACAGTCTAATGCGGAAGGAGAGCATTGCAGCTGCTGCAGCCAATTTGCAAGGCCGCGCCCTTATCGGGTGATTTCCATGCATTCCACTTCGCAGACGACGGAAAGCGGCAAAAGTGCGAGAAACCCCCTTGCTTATTTTGAGTCAGCCCGCGTTACCGGCTATCACCTCATTCATCTTCCTACCGTCATCCTGAGTAGCCGTGTCGCTATTTTCTCCACGCTACCGTCATCGGTAGCACCAATGTCGTCCAGTAGTGCCGTCTACCATAGTCTACGAGCTCCTGTCCTGATGGTGAGCTTCTTTACTATTTGAACCCGACATAACGGTAGCATACCTCCTCACGTCTTCCTGACCATCTGCACTTGCATCAGGCAGTGATCACGATGGCTGGAGGGCGGGGCGGTCCAATGACATTGCGGAACGCCATTGGCTAAGCAGATCGTTCAGGGCGCTGTAGGGGTGGAGGAGGAGGTGTGGTTAGAATGGCTTTACAGCGCCTCTCACCGATGGTTTTCCATGTCGTCATCGAAACCACATCGCCCTCCAGATGATCACTGCCTTTAAAGATTTGGCATAGGATTGCCAAGCATATTAGTCTTTTGGTACTGGGATCTGGTCATATTCAGCTGGTTTCTGGACAGGTGAAAAAGTCTCTGCGAATTAGGAACAGAGTTCTATTGCCCGTTGGAACATTCTGTACCTAAGCCTCTGGGAGAGTACGAGCCCTAACAAAACCCAGCTGTATTGGTGCCTACCGTGAATAAACTCCTCCTTGGGCACCCGGTCATGGGAGCTTGGGTTCTAGACGTGCGAATGGAAAGAAACGGATGATGAAAAATCTAATAGAAAGTACTCCGAGACGCTAAAATAAGGACATTCACAAGCCATGAGTTTGGGTAGGGGGACGCCTCTGGGATGATTGGATAGGTGATGCTGAAACAAGAAGTGAGTGGTCCCACGTTATGAAGTTCGCGATAGAGCTTATACCGCCACGCATCAAAATGACGTAAAAAGGCCAAACTACATAGAACTAAATGAAGCTGGAGAGGACTTTCAAAGTGAGCTAGGGCTAATCACCTGTATCACCTGTCGT